TTTCATGGTAATTAACCTTGTTGTGAAGTTTGAAGTTAATCCGTTAATAATTACTCGAGATATCGAGCGGACACTGTTTCGGCAAATCCATAAAGGGGCATAACTCCACAAATTATGGTCGGATAATGGCGGTTATCGAACTTGTCCGAGGTTTCATGGTAATTAACCTTGTTGTGAAGTTTGAAGTTAATCCGTTAATAATTACTCGAGATATCGAGCGGACATCGTTCGCTTGCCCGCCCGCCCGCTCACGTGATAACATAATACGTCCCCGTCTTCGACGGGCGTATAAAAAATCTTGTACAGTGTATATTGTACTTGGAGTTTGTGATGATGCGGTATTTACCTCGAGTGATGATGAAAAGCTGCTGTATGAGGCCCATCAGTAGTACAGCAACCATATATGCAGGTAGGAGAGGGCCATAGAATCTCATCAGCTATAACATAAAGATCTACATATAATGAAGAGATCCACACCAGACAAAAGCTGTAGCACAGAGGTCAACACAAGGTTTCAGCAATAGTGGCAAAAAGATTTCAGAGAAGATTTTTTTTAATGAATATTCATCAGTCAATGGGTAAATAAACATTAAGTAAGTGTACATTGACACAGATAGAGGCTCAATAAACAGATGATTGATCTTAAGGTTATATGCAACCTTATCAATTACACTTGTGATTTATTTGAGAGTTATCTCCCTTACAAACTTTTCAACATTACCTTATTATGTAGATTTTAATACTGACTGTTATCAATACATAAATTCTTGTATTTTTGTTTTTAATTATATAAAAATCATTGTCATTGCTCTTGTTTTTAATAAATTATATATTTTTTTGTTTTTTGTTTTTTTATTACTTAAATAAAGGAGACCAAGTTAACGTTTCACAAATTGAAACTTATTTATTGAATTCATCTTTTGTTTTATCAGATTCTTAAAAATACTTAGTAAATAAAGTGCTTGATTTCAAATTTATATATCAATCAAGGAATTATCGATGTTGATATTTTGAATTGTGGAACCAGATATGTAACATATAAAATTGTGTGTCTTTTATTTGACGAATAATCTCTGTATGGTGTATTATAAAATATTTCAATAGAATAAAATAGTGAAGGTCAAAGGTCACAAGAAGTGAACATTGACAATATTGGAGTATATCTCAGATACATGTCTCCCAGTAACTGCATGTGATCTTTACAAATATTTTTAAGCTACAGTTACAGGCCGCTGTTAATACCAAACAGTTATCTGACCTTACAAAATCTAAAAGATTTTGATAAATCTGCCACCTCTATTGCCAATACAACCAGCATATCAAATTATACATCATTTACAACTCTTGCATTTCATAAAAATCACACAAAGACTATTTTATGGAATGAGACTTAAGTGAATACAGAGTATCACTGACAGAATGACATTGATTCACCAGATACATGGGTAAATACAAATGTTTCAATGGTATCTGGTCCTTATATAACCGATACAAAAACCCAGTAACACATTAGGTTAAGGACAACCCAAACTATAGAAAACACTTGAAAGTGGTCCAATGGGTTTTCAACAAACTGTATGATCAGTGTGATATGTATGTACCTAGATTTGTTGAGTAACCTTGAGTAGATGTCACTAGGAACAGCGGTGTTGTACCTTCCCCAGACACCATGACTGATGAGACTCTATTGTAACCATACGGTACCCAATGATGATAAATGTTTGTGGTAAGAAATCAACAAAGCGTGTCATGCCCTGTAAGCGGAATCATACAAACTTTCCTTTACTGGGTCCTACATGCTGAAAACAGTTAAAGAGAAGTTATCAAGGAGTGCAATGCTGTTACTTGAAAGTCGGCTCTTTCTTAGATCAGAGTATGTTTGATTTTCAAATATTTAAACCTGAGGTAGTCAAGTGGAAAAACTGACCTTTACATGGCCCAAGGGTCAACTATAACACTAAAATCTTGATGTCTTTGTACATTGATTGAAAGGGCAATCTTAATCTTGTTAAAATGGTCAGTTTAAATGACTGAAGCGTGCCCAGATATAACTAATAACACCCACTAGTTCTGTGTCCTTAGACCGGTTCCTTTGCCTAGTGGATGACACATAATTAAGATCAATGGGTATTAGAGAGGTCACTTTCTTGTCAAGTTCGGAATTTGAAAAACAATACAGAGCTTGTGTATAAATACAAATGCAAACAATGACCGGCTCAACTTTGTGTATTTGATCGTCGGACTTCACGCCTCACTACCCCACTGTGATTAACCAATCGTCAACACATTATTATATGGTGCAACAAGTAAAGATTACTATAAACAAATCTGATCTCTACCACACGCGTGTTGACCATGTTTAGTTCCTGGTCAGTGTTATCAAGTGTCCCTGTCGAGGACTGGTCTATGTTCACACCCATTCTGATGGTAAGTACATACACGTAGAGACCAGACCACTTCACAACTCACACCTGCTATGATGGTACACCACTTGACTTCATAATTATACAAATTTATGAGTTATACAATTTACACTGTCTAAACTGACAACTGAGTAACCTGGCCACCTCATTGTGAAGGCTAATATTCTAATTGTTATATAGTGTACACCTTCTATATTGACACCTGAGTAATCAGAATACCTCATTGTGAAGGTTACAGTATTTAAAAAGAGAATGTCCACTGTCTAAACTGACACCTGAGTATTCTGAATACCTCAATGTTAGGGTAATAGTATGTCCACTGTCTAACAGCATTCACAAAGTTTATATTCACTGTCTATATTGACACCTGAGTAATCTGAATACCTCATTGTGAAGATAACAGCATTCACAAAGTTTATATTCACTGTCTATATTGACACCTTAATGATTTGAACATCCCATCATGAAGGTTCGATTCACAAAGATATACATTGTACACTGTCTATACCAACACCTGAATAATTTATTAATGTTAATGTTGGCTGTCTACTATAACTGACACCTGAGTAATCTGAATACCTCATTGTAAATGTAAGTACGTATTCACAAAGTTTTATACATGTAGTACAGTACATTTCGCTTAATATCACGTCACTTAATCTATGTAATTCAACTCTTTTATTATCACTTGTTTTGGTGTTGATTTCGCTTAATATCACTTTATTTTGACAAGTGTCACATAAAAATCAATGGTAAATGAAGGTAAGAAGCTCCATATTTCAATGAAATTAACAAATAAAAGACAATTATTTGACTGTTAATGAAAAAAAAGCCGTGTCGGTTACAAATATTTTTTTACTAAACGATCTTCTTTGTAAAACTATAACACTTGGACATTTAATTATGGTCACTTCCAGGTTTTGACATCTGAAATGGTCAGAAAAACATGTTTTCTTTTTATGTCATTCTCTGGTTAATATCATGTTTTTCTCTGACAAATGAGAAGTGATATTAAGCGAAATGTACTGTATTTAGTATTTACAAGGTAATATAGTGCACACTGTCTTTATCGATACCTGTGTAATACGAAAACCTCATTATGCAGGTTAGTACTCACACAGCACCCCGTCGACTGTAAACTATAAGTTATCTGTGGTCAGTTAAAATGCCTTATTTTGTAATTTGTTCAGATTTGAGAGGTTTATATACCTTTGTTCTTGTTTGAGAACATTCAATGAGACCTACAGGGAGACTGAAGTTGAGAAGGTTGCTGGGATTCTGTTTTATGTGTCGGTCACTAAGGAATATGTGTTACCAATGTCTCCAATAACTTGTACAACTAACAAACAACACATACCCACGTACGTGACAATAGGATATGTACAGAATATACTTCCAAAATATCTGGAGGAAGGTTATAATTAGGCAGGTGTTTGTCAGTCACCCAGGTGTAACTTCTAAACAAATATTTGTGTTACAGGGTTTGATACCCCGTATAACTGAGGAAATATTGACTTATAACAGAACTTTGTTACCAAAATCTTGGATCAAACACACTGAACAAACAGCCTGTCATGTGAGCCTGATAGATATGGATATCTAATACAGGCCTCATCCTGTACCTCCCACCAGTGACACTATTGATATTAATGAAACATAAATAATCTACAATTACATATCACAATTGTCCAGGTCATAGCATTGTACCAGAACACACACAGTGTATGTGCTTTCTCACATGACTAATATTCAGCTTAGCTGGTAATAAACTTGACTTCCTGTACCAGTAGAAGTATTTAATGACCAATGGTCTGTTGATATGAAGGCTTTCAGCAACTGTGAGAAAACAAATCTTCTAACAGTAACATGCAAATGGAATTCATACATTCAATCATGTGTTATTATTTCTGTAACAAAGTTAGATTATTTATTCAAACATTCAAATTTCTTTACCAATATGTAAAACCTCAATCACTACTGTGGATTCCTCTGCTATACTGCTTAATATTACATTTTGGTTAATGTTTTTTTTCCTCTATAACAAAAATGTTCTCAATACAATTTTTATCTATATAAATGAAATTGTTTTCTATCATGAGATTTAACAAGGACTTTTCATATCATATTCTAGTGCCAGTAACTCAATTAATCTATTTCATGTAAAAATTACTTTGTAGGATTAAACCTATGTTATCAATTGAGACTGGTAACAAAGCTGCAGGTCAATTATCACACATTGGCTTGATATATAGACATTGATCCAGACAGCTGTTGATTCCTAACTCTTACTATCACATTTATTCTCTGACAAATGACATGATATCAATGAGAACACACTGTATTATCTACTGTACTGACACAAGACTATAGCAGACGAGGCAGGTTGCCATCTAAGTTAGCACAGGTTGAAAGGACTTTCGACCTAAATGTGGATCTGTGTGATGCTTTACCTAGACCTAACAATTAGTATATGTTGGTATATGTACCCTGATGAGCAAACAAATAACCAAACCTGATGACAAAGGATGTCCAGGCATAAGTTGATATAACGGGTTAGCCTGACATACACAGAGAAGCATGATGAACACAGGTAAGCACTAATGTACAACAGATACCTTGATGAACACAGGTAAGCACTAATGTACAACAGATACCTTGATGAACACAGGTAAGCACTAATGTACAACAGATACCTTGATGAACACAGGTAAGCACTAATGTACAACAGATACCTTGATGAACACAGGTAAGCACTAATGTACAACAGATACCTTGATGAACACAGGTAAGCACTAATGTACAACAGATACCTTGATGAACACAGGTAAGCACTAATGTACAACAGATACCCTGATGAACACAGGTAAGCAGAGGTGAATATGTACCCTGATGTACACAGGTAAGCACTAATATACTACAGGTACATATGTCCTAATAATTACATGTAAGCAAAAATCTACATGAACCTTGATGAAAACAGGTAAGCAGAGGTGAATATGTACCCTGATGTACACAGATAAACACTAATATACTACAGGTACAAATGTCCTGATAATTACATGTAAGCAAAAATCTACATGTACCTTGATGAACACAGGTAAGCAGTTTCATAGTCTGCCCTCCCTTGTCATTCCATACCTATTCAGATCAAGTTTACAGATTTAAGAATTTGACAAGATTGTTCAGTATTATTATGATTTACATGAATAGAGGTTGATATCCCAAACCAACTTTATTAAAATCTTGGCCTTACATCTTTTAGACAAGAGTGTACCTGTACAGGTGTGAAGGAACTTCATTATAGGTAGAAGACATCAATTACAGGTTACTCATCATGGAACACACTAGGTGTTGTGACCTATGAGGACATTCAAATGTTTATAAAGTTAATTCAGTCATTCCGATAGTATACAGCATTATTTGTGAAGAAAACAAACAATACAAAACAGTCCTATTTAGTGAGGCTAAGTCTTCACACTCCACATACCTACAGCCAAGACTAGGAGCCAATTTTCTGTTTCAATGCTATCAGACTGACAGTTATAATCTTCTCATATTGAATTTTGCGTGGTGTGATTTTGACTGTAAAATCTAAGGATACACCTGCCTAGGGGAAATCTGTTACTATTTATTGACACGGTGGCTAGTGTGACATGCCTCTCACTCGTCTCCAGCAGTAGGGTGACCATTACTTACAAAGGAAGAGGTCACTTACTGATCCTTGTTAGTACCAAACCAGTCAACCAAAGACATCGCCTAATTGGTCGGGACTAGAATTAAGATTGACAAACATTGGGGTGTGCTGCAGTGGACGTTGGTGCACACATCGAATGGTGTGTTCTGACAGAAGTTCGATTGTGGTGAATCCCTTGTATTGATTGGTGTGAATGATTTAGCAATAAGCTGTCAATACATGAACAATGGAATGTAACTTTAAATCATTCGGTATAAAAAAAGCCATTCCTAGGTTTAAAAGTCAGGCCTGATGACTGGTGTACTAAGCGGCTGTGCTGTTTGTAGCGGGACACCATGTAGCGTATTGGTGGTTGTGTATTGGAGGAGATAAAGACTGTTCCGGACGATGGATCTGATTGGTGTCGGAGTGATACCGTGCTGATAGGTGGTATGGATGGTCCAAGACAATGGGTCTGATGTATGACTGACCTGCCACGCTGTCCCACTGCACAACCCACATTGTCCCACACGGGTCAACAATAGAACTCAAAACTATTTTGGCCACAAAACACAAAAACAAAACAACAAATACATCTCTAAGATGGAATCTGGGTTTATTCTCATTCAAAGTCTGTGATTTTAAGATAACAAGTTTCAACACCTATTGACGACGGAGGGTTTGACAAACTTATTTCGACGAAGAATTACCAGAGTTGATCAGATACGTCTAGACTGTGGTATAGTGTTCAAGGAAACATAAAATATAGATGTGGCCATAACTTGAGATCATTGCACCAATGGAACATTGCATGGATGTGTGTATGGAATATTATAATGTCTACCTCTCGGAGTTTTGTAAAATGGTTTGTATTTCATAACTAGGATCTGTCATTTATTCTCATTTCTTATATCTATAATCGAAACACAACACATAGATTTAATCAACCTATTACTGACAAGAATTAATAATCACACTTAACTTATTTAAGATAAATTCAGTACAGAAATAATTTTGGCACTACAGTTGTGGGAACCAAGTTGTAAGAATAGCAAACCAGATGTGATGTTAGTGTGCAGCGAGGCTATGTATAGTTGTCATTGAATTGTGACCGTGTCTTGTGTTACACACTACCAAACATGTATGGCATACCTCGCCATTGTCTCTATATATAATACATTAACGTGTCCACCGCGTGGATTATACTTACCAATACACTGATTAATACGGATATCAATCACACTCTACAGACTTATAATCTACTATGTAGACCTGCTCACTGGGATCGTTACAACAAATCATATCGTAACTGGTGTATAATCAACTTTTTGAAAATTTAGACAATTTTTTTTTTACTGATATTGAATTTAAAATTGCAAAATCACTTCCAATTTAACTGTATGACCTTCTATATAAGTGATTCTAATCCACATAGTTTGCCCAGTCAACAGTTTAAGTAACAAACTCAAACGCCACTAATAGGATAAGTGCAGGGCCAAAGATTGCCAAATACTGGAGGAGACCTCTTACATAGGGACTCCTTTGTAGCTCTGTAGCATTAACTACACCACCTGAAGCCCCCTATGTATTTCTTCAGTGTAGTACTATCAGGAACATGACATGTAAACTGTAAAAGGTAATTGCTTTGTAAAACATCCTTATACCTAGTCCTGTATAAGTGTACCACTAAAACCCCTTCTGTCATACAGAGGACAGTCATCAACCCCCACCGTCAAATCTTATCTAGAACTTAAGAAAAGAGAAATCTAATACTTACTGCCAAACATTGACTCAAAACTATTTGTCTCAAACTTCCTCAGGGAGAAATAATATCAAAATTACAATTTGTTATAGGGGTGTAATGTTGCCTGCATTAATGGAAGTCGACTTAGACATTTAAAGATTGTTATCCAATATTTATGAATACATATATATACAATATGAATTGAAATTTGAAATGACGTTGTATGATATCAGAGATAATGCTATAGTTACAGTTTTATAGAAAAGCTGAACTAGTCAGGACAAAACCTTACAAAAAACATTGAAATAGATAAGTATCGATGAGTCTAATCAATAAATTTCAATTTTACATGCAATTTGATAATAAAATTGATACAGAACCCTATTGAAAATTCTGATGAAAATATATTTGAATGAAAATGAGAAATAAGTGTTGAAGGCCATCAAGTCATTGATGTACCTATTTCAGGGACCTGTACAGGTTCAGCACATTTTTTTTTAAAGGATTACGTTTTAAAACAAAGGTACTTAAATAAAGCTTTCCTGCAATTAGTGGTTTCTGGTAAAAAACACTGATACTCAGTAAGACTTCGTTGGCATCAACTTAGTTCCAAACAATCATTTGGCTAAAATTTCAACAGGGGAGAAGTCAAAGTAGTCACAAATAGCACTACACTGTATACTTAATATTGGATATTAAACTTCAAAGGAAGTTTTTTGATAATTGTAGTAATAACTGAGAACAAACTGTAACTCAACTCTTCTAATCACAAAAACTACCATATTCAGATTGAAATACAACAGACGAAGGAGCAGGTATTTCTGGTAGTATTAATAGTGAAGAAGACCCTTGTAAGGACGAATCTGGTCGACATTACCTCACCTATTGTGATCGAATCCATGACCTAAAGGACCCTCTTTTACTCAATTTCCCTGTAAACCTTGGGGTATCCAGACATGGGGTAAACACCAACACCAGTCACAACTTCTGCTATATTCACAAAGCATGCCAAGGTAATTCACTCGTTCATATTCATGGAGTATTTATTTATGTTATATTCATTCCAGATTAATTTTGCAGACATTTCAAATTATTATTTGAATCTGAATGTAAAACGAATTTCACAAATTTATAAAAATCAATCTCTTTGCCGATTCCCACATTTACATTGTGTGCCAAACGACCATACAGATTATGTAGAACTGCATACCATTCAGCTTTAGCAATTAAACATAGCAATCATGGACCGCAGTCATTTTATTGAACCATAAAACTAAAAATGAATCAATAAAATTGGTTAACGTTATACATGGATTTTTAATGAGTTAATTGGCAGTTTGAAAAAAAACCTAAAAGGTAGGCGCAGGGACATAACTTAACACTTCATCGAGGACAGAGTACCATTTGTTTTATATACTTGTTGCTAAAGTAGGTGATACTTGTATTTGGACATTTATTGTTAATGAACTTCATGTTCACAAGTGTTCACATATGTCAGTCCTCTGTTAGATTGTTGAGTTAATGAAGCAATGACCATGCATCGTTACCTGCAGGGAACTAGACTGTCTGCCATGGATAATTACACAATCAAATCGTTTGGATGTAGGTTAAAAGGCACAGGTTATCATGCTAACAGCCCAAGGTGAGAGGGCGACATCAATTCTGTCGCCACGGTAACTAGATGATAATTGTAACCTTGGGCTGTACATTGATGTATCTTTTCCAGGAATATCAGTTGCTATGTGTAAATAATAAATATCTATGTGATTCTCCTATATCTCACTGGGGAACCTTTTGTAGCATTGCATCTATAACTGAAACAGAATACACTGGTATTGTTTGAATCGCCTACATAAAACTTCCCTGGCTAGGCTGAGTACACATTTATCCTCTACTACTCAGATACCTACAGGTGTAATTACCATAATCACACACTAAGTATATCATTAATATGATTAGTTTAATCACACGTTTAAATACTGCCCAGTCGATAGGTTGACCCCGCACTGAGCACCAATCCACCTGGTCACATACCTAACCTACCCGGCCGGCAAACAACAAAGCAGTGTCTGCTGTCAAGGTTGTGTAATGATGGATTAAATCGGCCAAACCCTAAAAGGGAAAGACTAATAAAAGTGTTTTGTGGATAGGCTAATATTTATTTGGGAATAAATTTATATGTACATAATCAATTATTATGCTCATTTAAAGTCCCAAAAAGGGTTATATTGGGTTTTTTGCACAGCAATCTTAAAGTAATCTGACAAATGGGAATGTAATTGAGAAATCACTGTGAACATTTTACCTACTGAGTAAACTTCATCAGGTACAATACTCCGGGGAGACCTCATTTGTTTCTGGTTGAAGTGCCCTTTATTTCTATCTGTTTGTTTGGCACACAGATGATGAAAAGAGCGGTATCATTATTTGAAGTGAGAGTGACAAGTAGTCAAACAGTGTGTACTGGAGAACCCTGTCCTGGCGCAGGGCACCCCTTATCTCACACCAACCGGTATTAATCTGTTTTTAGCAACATTTTTTGACACGTAGATTTGATAACAAATACATTTCTCAGTCTCATAAAAAAAATCTGCCATGTTTTTCAGAGGAAATGGTGTACGATGGTGTGAGGGAGAAGTGTTGCAGTGAGGTGACAGAAGTGTTGGGTCCATAAGGCTGGTCGTGTAACCAAGATGAATCAGCAGACACTGTTGTACCACACAAAACTCCAGGACTGGAGTCAAATCTACCACCTCAAGGCAGATGGGCGTGTCTGCAAGGCATCAAAGGTGCCTTATCTCCCTGCTCACAAACTTCAACAAATCGAAGTTTGGAGGAAAGATGTATCCAAAACTTTGAGAAAAACTTGTTCTGCCAGACCAGACAGGTCTCAATCCAAAGCTACCAAAGATGTCCGACCAATCTCTGAAATAGTACGCACGAACACACCTTTTCAGGTTAATGGGCACGAGAAACCTCGGCCCAGGAGTGCTTGGTCAAACTCCACAAATGACATGCAAACTGTGACCAGTAACTTAGCTGAGACGTCACTACACTACGCAGCCCAGAGAGAGCAACTCCACAAGGTAAATGCCTCCAGGAGCCAATCAATACGAATCAATAGGAAACAGGTAACACACACGGGTGATGCTAAGGCACCAGCAGAGCGCTGTATCAGGACGGAAGGAGGATCACCACTGAACCAGGCTAAGGAGATCATCCCTAACGGGGAAGTCAAAGACATGCCGAGGGATGAGGATGATGAACAGGACAATCTGAGTGATGTTGAGGTCCTAAGTAGTGTTACACAGTTCAGGATGGAGAACAGGGGACACATGATACAGGTGAAGGACCAGACGGTGTTGTCTATGAGATCACAATCAAACAATCTTCTCAATGTCTTATCGGTGGACGACTGTAAAATGGCTATTAGATCAAGACTGAGAAATAGAGTGATTCAGGACCATGAACAAAATGGTGAAGCAAATTCGGATGAGAAACACTCTGATACAAACTCAATAGGAAGGTTAACATTAGATAAAAGTAGGACCAGTTATGGAAGAAGGACTGGCGCTGACAAAGTGAATGAAACAGCATCCAAACTTGGACGTGACACAAAAGTGCCAGTGAAAAGTCGTACAGCTAAGATTACCAAGGCGATAGACAACATGGTGCATGACAGAAAAGTGATGAATGATTTGGATCGTAACTTCGACTCTAGGATTGGTTCTACTGCTCGTATAACCCTTGAGCGTGCTGAAGGGGGAAAGATTTTTAAGAGATTGAATTCTGCTTTAAAGAAACATGTGAATGGTTTACTAATGCACCAGTCTGCTAGTCAAAGGAAGTTCTATACTCAGACAGTTATAAGTAGCCAATCTGACACTCTGTTTGACGGGGATACTCAGTACAGGAGTGGAACCTGTACTCCATCCGAGGGGGCCAGGCAGGGTGAGTCAGCCCTGTCCAATGTCACCCCTACCCATCCAGATATCAGCGGGCTGGACAGCTATAGGGGCATCCCTCAAACACCCGCCATACCCGAGGAAATGGAGGATGATCAGGAAAGTTACGAAAACTCTATCACATAGACAATGTTATGTGATCTAAGGATTCCAGTTTTTTAGGTGTTGTAGGTTACAATGTTATTAATTGTAGTAGAGATATCTGCTAACTTCCTCTGTGATTTATATGGACCTTATTGTCTCCTTGCCTTGTGAGTATCTAACTTCAATGTCTGGTCTAACATATTCATTCATTTTGACAATATCATTTATATTCATTGGTTGACAATGTCTGTTGTAAACCCTAGGAAGCTGTTATTTCTCTAACTGAAATACTGATTTTAGTAATATTTATACGATAACATACAAAAATTTGTTACTTTTATTATGATTATGATGACAAATGAGTAATAAGTAAATAGTTTCCATCTGTATTATCTGTCTAACAGAGCTGTTAATCATTGGTAGGACAAGTTAATTTGTATACTGTACATGCATGGTTAATTAAAGGTATGACAAATTAGTTTATATTTTTCTGTGTAAGGCAATGCCATATGAATATTTCCCCACACTGGGGACAAGTAATGCAGCACCCTGGTGCCAGTGGGTACAAAGCTACCTACAATGTACACTCAGAGTGTGATAGGCATACCTTAGTTCCATCGACTAATACTAGTTGTTCTGATTATCTATACAACTCAACAGTCTTTTTAAATTAATGCCAATACATGTACTGATATAGGACATAAGGCAAGACATTGTACTTAACTTTGAAGTTGGTTAAATTGAATGTATGTATTGATCTACCTATAGCAAATCTACCGCCACCAGTATTATATACACGCCGTCAACACTACCCGCCTATACACACCTCACATACGCAGTCACGAGGGCCGCATCACAATGATCGTAATAAAACACAATCAAGCAATTCATTATTTAGTAGTTTATTATTAATCACTAAAAATATATTACCAGTAACTTGAAACAATATTTTTAATGTTTTAAGTACAAAACAGTTACCAGTAGACTTGACAATTAGTGCACCTGTTTAACTGGAGTGTAAAAATGCATAAAACTGTCTCAATATAAAGGCAAGATTGTGAAATATGTAATGGTAAAAAAGTCTGCTAATTAGTAAACAAATTTACAATTGTTTAACAAAATTTCTTCATTGAATATTTTTAAGGTATTTTTTAAAAATCAAAACATTTTCAGTTTAAATTACTATGATTTGATAATTTTTTATTTAGAAATATGTATAACATTTTGATGACGCTACCTTAGATACAGACATAAACATGTGTTTACTATTTTCTGTTAGTGTTTCTATATCCAGATTAACTTAACTTGTGTACATTACAACAAGAAAAGTTTACATTTCCTATGTTGTCCTGCTATAAGAACTTCAATTTAAGACCTATTGGTAAAGCCTTTCAGAACGTCTCACTACCAAATATTTTACATTTAAATGTACGAACTAATACATACGGAACTGTATAGTGTTACCATGGATACATCTCAGTACTTTACAGTCTATGTCTAATGTGTACTAGACATTACATCTCAATACTTTACTGTCTACGTCTAATGTGTTACCATGGTTACTAGACATTACATCTCAGTACTTTACAGTCTATGTCTAATGTGTTACCATGGTTACTAGACATCACATCTCAGTACTTTACAGTCTACTGTGAAGACCAGACACCAAATCTCAATATGTTACGCTCAATGTCGAATGTATTACCATGGTTACTGGAATATTATTTTGTTTTTTTACAGTCAATGTGTGTTGTGTAACCATGGTTACTGGACATCACATCTCAATACTTTGACGGATACCGGACATCATGTTTCTGTCTATGAGGTTAATGTAAACTATTTACATTTCCTATCATATTTATTTACACTTTTATGTGTGAGAACCGTCAATAACATATACATGTACCACGGTTTTGTGAATATTCTACCATTTCTTTCACAAATTAAGACCATAGCTTAAATTTTGACAACAAGATTGGCTGAGGGAACCTTAACCGAAGACTTAAAAAAAAAAAAAAATCAGAAATACCTTAAAATTAAAAGATGTTTTTTGTTTCTTGTCATCTGAAATCCAGATACCTGTTAATTTTTGTTAATTTGTTTCATTATTTTTGAAAATTTTAGGAAATAATATACTGGTCACTTGTCATTACGTTAACTAAAATATGAATAATAGTGCTCAGGTGATTGTACGTGTTGTTACCATTTCAATCACAAAATAAGTGTTATATAAAAACAAAGCACTTTTTATTTACAGTACGTATGTACTTACAGCTTTGAAGGAACTTCACTCACTTTTGTGTTAATTATTTCCTTAATCATATATGTTTGTGAAACTTGCTGTTCAGAGTATGAGCTTACGCATACAATGTAAGAGTGAAGAGTGAATGATCTGATTTAAGATATGTATATATGTGAGCCTTGTAGCTGAAGGTGCTATTATAAGTAGCACTCAGCAAGTGTTGTTATCAATGTCTGATGTTGTAATTTAGTCTTTAAGACAACATTAAATTCTACCAAAGATACATTTGTGTATATTGTAATTCTTCCTTCATTCAGTGCTGAATGCCACTGATCCATCAAACAAACAGAGATTTGATTTTCTCACCCTCCTGGACTTTGACTGACCCGTGTGTTTTGAGTTGGGCACCAGGTTCACTACTTGTAACCAGGTAGCTCATTTGGTTAGGAACCATGGTGACTGTCTGACAAGTGTATGTTAGGAACTATGTTGACTGTCTGACAAGTGTATGTTAGGAACCCTGTTGACTGTCTGACAAGTGTATGTTAGGAACTATGTTGACTGTCTGACAAGTGTCTGTTAGGAACCATGGTCACTGTCTGACAAGTGTATGTTAAGAACCATGGTGACTGTCTGACAAGTGTATGTTAAGAACCATGGTGACTGTCTGACAAGTGTATGTTAAGAACCATGGTGACTGTCTAACAAGTGTATGTTAGGAACCATGTTGCCTGTCTGACAAGTGTTAGGAACCATGTTGACTGTCTGACAAGTGAATGTTAGGAACCATGTTGACTGTCTGACAAGTTTATGTTAGGAACCATGGTGACTGTCTGACATGTGTATGTTAGGAACCATGTTTACTGTCTGACAAGTGTATGTTAGGAACCATGTTGCCTGTCTGACAAGTGTTAGGAACCATGTTGACTGTCTGACAAGTTTATGTTAGGAACCATGGTGGCTGTCTGACAAGTGTATGTTAGGAACCATGTTGACTGGCTGACATACACATGTTAGGAACCATGTTGACTGTCTGACAAGTGCATGTTACGAACCATGTTGACTGTCTGACAAGTGTATGTAAGGAACCATGTTGACTGTCTGACAAGTGTATGTTAAGATCCATGTTGACTGTCTGACAAGTGTATGTTAGAAACCATGGTGACTGTCTGACATGTGTATGTTAGGAACCATCTTGACTGTCTGACAAGTGTATGTTAGGAACCATTGTGACTGTCTGACATGTGTATATTAGGAACCATGTTGACTGGCTGACAGGTGTATATTAGGAACCATGTTGACTGTCTGACAAGTGTCTGTTAGGAACCATGGTCACTGTCTGACAAGTGTATGTTAAGAACCATGGTGACTGTCTAACAAGTGTATGTTAGGAACCATGTTGCCTGTCTGACAAGTGTATGTTCGGAACCATGTTGACTGTCTGACAAGTGTATGTTACGAACCATGGTGACTTTCTGCCAAGTGTATGTTAGGAACCATGTTGCCTGTCTGACAAGTGTTAGGAACCATGTTGACTGTCTGACAAGGGTATATTAGAAACCATGGTGACTGTCTGACAAGTGTATGTTAGGAACCATGCTGACTGTCTGACAAGTGTATGTTAAGAACCATGGTGACTGTCTGACAAGTGTATGTTAGGAACTATGTTGACTGTCTGACAAGTGTCTGTTAGGAACCATGGTCACTGTCTGACAAGTGTATGTTAAGAACCATGGTGACTGTCTAACAAGTGTATGTTAGGAACCATGTTGCCTGTCTGACAAGTGTATGTTAGGAACCATGTTGCCTGTCTGACAAGTGTTAGGAACCATGTTGACTGTCTGACAAGGGTATATTAGAAACCATGGTGACTGTCTGACAAGTGTATGTTAAGATCCATGTTGACTGTCTGACAAGTGTATGTTAGGAACTATGTTGACTGTCTGACAAGTGTATGTTAGGAACCATGCTGACTGTCTGACAAGTGTATGTTAAGAACCATGGTGACTGTCTAACAAGTGTATGTTAGGAACCATGTTGCCTGTCTGACAAGTGTATGTTCGGAACCATGTTGACTGTCTGACAAGTGTATGTTAGGAACCCTGTTGACTGTCTGACAAGTGTATGTTAGGAACCATGGTGACTGTCTGACAAGTGCATATTAGAAACCATGGTGACTGTCTGACATGTGTATGTTAGGAACCATGTTGACCGTTGACTGGCTTACAAAACTAAAGTAATGATTAATCTGGTCAGTGAGTAAGTCAGACGTCACATTGACTTGTGAATGGCTACCATTAAATTACCTGGTACTTTAGTAGTTAAGATGTATTATTACCAAGTTGACTCCAACTTGTCCTCCATAACTAAGATTACTCTGGTGTGGTTGAGTTAATGCTAGGACCCTGATATATTACACAATACTGGGACACCTATCACCGAGTCTGACTAATGTTACATGTAATATATGGCCCAGGTTTTATGTCAGTGAAACCATATGGAGACAGGAAAGGCATCGTTACATCAATCATGGTACGCACCTCTTGGTGTGTACTTGATCCATCAGAATATCTAGATCATAAAGAGAGAATTGGTGGTTATTAAGTGGAGATAATCTTATCTCTCCTGTGTTCCATATCAGGTATCAGCTAGGCAACCTATAAGGTGATCACACACGCTTTCACAATGAAACATTTAAAAGATTAGGATCAGAATGTCTAAATTAACTTGAAAAGCTGTGATCTATGAATATGGTATCTTGTATATCAGTTATGGGACCGTTTTTAATGAACTCGTCCTGCTGTGGTATTAACTCGTGGGGTAGTCCAGGGTTTCCTATTTACTTGTGAGCTAGTCCTGGATTTAACTTTGTCACAACAACATGTCGATATTAAGAACAGGTACAGGTGTTGCTACAACAGAGGATAGGTGAGTCCTTCGTTACCATGGATACATGACTTATCAGGGATCAGTCGAATCTCCCATCACCAGAGGTAGTCTTAGACAAGTCCTTGTGACTTCGCCAATTTTACATATATATCAGGGTATATACCACCCAGTACATAGCCTATAGGAGTTTACTAATTCCTCACTTCACAAAAACTTTCAAAATCTCATTATTGTAAAACACAGCAATGAAATCCGCCCCCCCNTATAGACCTCCCAAGGTTTCCGCCATCATTTCATAACATTTGTATACCCAACCATCGACAATTTATGTGGGCCTTTAGAAAAAATGTTTTAAAAATATAAAAATATCTTGTTTATGATCGTTAACTGTTCTGTGTATCAAAGTCACCATAAATCAAAACATGATGTTTTTGGTACTTATTCTGCATCGAAGTTTACATTAATTACTGATGGAAGTTACGCTCTACTGTAAGCTATCAAAGCTAACGTAAATTAAAACATTTTGTTAATGGCAGCTATTTGCTATCAAAGTTAATATGGAGTCTTGTAATGTCATGATTGTTTGGACCACAGGGAATTTCAGATAAACAAGATTATCACAGATATACAGTACATGAAAATACTCTGTTTTGGAGCCAAAAAAACATCTTGAGGATTAGAAACACAGTTTTTGAGATGTCAGTTCATAATTTTTTACCAATACTTATTTTTACAATTGTTTTCTGATGACATTTTCATGGGTATAAGAATTCATGAGAAGAATTAAACATTGCTACATGTTCCTTGTTAAAATTGTGTCTTAATAAATATTCTCAGGATATTTGAATTTGTGTCTCTTCACAAATTAACCCCCCAAAAAAATCAATATTTGCAAAGAGCTGACAGTGCTTATACTTAAATACTTCTATGCATTAACAACCAAATCCCAATTTAAAATGCGTTCATTTAAATCCGCCCATTCCAATATCAAGCCAATGATTAACATTGATCAGATGGAGGCA